TTCACCAATACCAAATCTAATGTGAAGATCAAGATGAAGTCAATGTACATCATAAGAATTATCACCGTAACCATCCAACTTCTATTTCGTCACCATACCAAGATTCTCCACTGAACTTGAAAAATTAGGAGAATTTACCAGAGCGTTGGAATATGGTAAGGTATATGCTACCGGCCGTTTCAGAAATCTAAGATCAGTTCGTGGAGATTAGTTCTGAGAGTAAGAAAAGCGACGACTAGTCAGCAAGTGAAATAAGTAAATTTTAAATAATAGTTGAAGTATAGCATTAAGTTGTAATTTCAGTTATTGAATGGGGCTTTCAAGTTTCGGTGCATTACTTTTTCATTACAAGGAACCCACACATAGTCGAAATAAATCGTGGCATTGATAAAAAAAAGATTGAGAGGATTTAATGGAATTGGTAGAAGAGAAAACCTTTCAACTCATATCGAATGGAAGGTACTAAATAAACTGTATGGCAGCGACCATTATCCCATAATCATATCCATCAAATCAAGGAGCTACCACCATAAATAAAGAATTATCACACCAAAAATGGAATCGCAAACATGTAGATAGAAGCCAATAATTTCATCGAGAATAACATATCCGATAGAGAATAATGTCACCGTCGAAAATGTCATTTGTCGTTATAATTGCAGCAGTGAATAAAGCAATTGGAAAGATATCTCAAAAAGCACAAACCTGATGAAACCATGATGAAATAAATAATGCGATAAAGCAATAAAAGCAAGCAAAAAATGCAGAGCTGAAGCGAGACTAATGCCAAAAAGAAATAAGAAAGAATCTTGGACAAAATATATTCAGAATATCAATAGCAATAGTCCAATAGCAACGGTATGGAGAAAAGTGAAAAGAATATCAGGATTCGAGTCGCATTATGGAATATATGCACTGGAAAAAACCAAACAGTCATTACGGATAGGAAGAAAATTGCAGATTTCAGAAAGGGCCCATTTTGCGAAAATTGTAATGGATTATTCTTATTATTCAAAGCTGAACAGGAATCGAGGCCAATGATAATAGAAAAAACATTCTGATCCAATCAATTTGCATTTCACTTATCCAGAGTTTCAAGAAGCATTATTATCACTCAAAGGAACATCTCCGGGATCAGATGATATACCTTCTTCGTTTCTGAAAAGATTGCCAGACGTTGCCAAAAAATAATATACGGACAGAACAAATCTCGGGGCAGCCAATAATCATTCCCATTTCGAAAGCATACAAGCCAGCCCTTGAAGCAAATTTCTATTGACCAATTGCATTGACGTGCACAATGTGCAAATTACTAGAAAAAATATATGAAAGGCTGATATACACCCTTAAAAGTAAAAATCATATCATAGCAGAACAATTGGGTTTCCGACCTCATAGATCTGCTTTAGACAATATAATAGATCTAAGGAGCAACAAACTTTCGTTAATTACCAAAAATGTATCAAATCTCTCGAGAAATTGAAACGATGGTGCTACGAAGAGAACATATTAACCTTCATCGAGAACTGATGGAACGGGAATATTGTGTTCGGGCAAATAGAACATCATCTTATGATGCAACTCAAGAAAGCGGTACTCCCCCAAGGCTCGATAATCAGTTTTATGCTATTTCTGATAGCGCTCAATGACATCTTACAATCCCTGAAGAAACCTGTGCAGGCAAGGCTATATGCGGATGACTTGTTTATATTTGCCAAAGGAAAAAGCGTTCAAAACTAAGCAGATGTTTTACAGAAGCACATCAACTATTTTGAAATATGATCCAAAACCTCAGGTTTCAAGTTTTCCCCAGTGAAAAAAAGTGAAAACAAAGCAATAATGGCAATGAGCAACTAACATCTTTCCATTGTTGAACAAATACCTTTTTTAGGGATGGCGTTTGATCAGCAACTGAATTGAAAGTTGTACATGAAACAACTAGTACTATCGTGCCAAAAAGGGTTGAGATTACTCAAACATTCAGCTCACAGACAATGGGGTGTGAAAGGATCAAAACTATTACTACTATACAGATCGCTGATAGTCTCTGAAATAGATTATGACTGCACAGCATGTGCTTAAGTCAAGCCGAGTACATTGATTATATTCGATTATATACACAACTCTACTTTACGGACAATCTCAGGAGCTTACAGAACGACCATAGCGGAAAGCTTATACTGTAAAATTGAAGAACCCTCTTTAAGCCACCTCAGGAAACAAATGAACTTATTATATGAAGCTGATGCAATATATTCCAACTTACCGGAATATAATCACATATCGTTTCTCAACAAGTTATGATCGATCGAGAAGAGATCTTTCTTTTTACGTGATAATTCGACGACAATACAGAAATGTCCATCTCTTTACCATGGCACATAAAACTCTCACATTGAACTCTCACCCCAAATGGCTCGAATGAGACAATTATTATTCATAATTTTCTACAAACTATAAACCAGTACTGTAATGATAGGGGAACATTTTGCAATCCTTCAAGCTCTTCGATATGCTAAAACAAATATCAGTAATGAGTTTATAATAATATCAGACTCACTAAGTGCTCTATAACTTCTGCAACAAATATATTTGACTCATCAGAGAGGAAATATTCAAATTGGACAGACTGAACAAAGAAACCGTTTACTTTGGGTTCTTTCGCACATCGGAATAGCATCCCACACTATTTACATGGACCTGAAACCATACTTCAAGAACTCATTGAAGAATAAATGGAACAATCATTGGCAACATACAACAAGTTTAAAGAATGGAAAACTAAGACAGCATCGGAACATGGATCAGAAGAGAAAAGAACAGGTCATAATAATACGACTTCGTTTAGGACATACCAAGCTCATTCACGAATATCTTATATCCGGAAAAGACGAACCGCAGTGCCATATTTTTGAAGTTAAACACATCATAATGGAATACCAAATGTTTCGGTTAGAACGAGATGCCTATAAGATATCTTCAAATTCATAAGAAACTGTGAACTATTTGAATTCAATATATATGTATCTATGTAGGTTAGGTCCAAAGTGAGTGGGTCTATTGGACCCTCCACCGCAACCCGCAAGGGTTTATTGTGGCTCACATCTATTCACACTCGACCAAATAAACCCAGCTTCTTAATGAAGCCGATTAGTTTGTATGGTGAGTGGTCTTTCAGGTCAGATGGTAAGAGTACGGCTCTGCCGAACTCTAAAAACCTGATTAGGTCCTCAGCGGGGCAGGCACAAAGTATATGTTCTGCTGTTTCATCGTTAATGAGGTAGTCGGATAGTCAAGGTGCAAAATTCCCACCTTGATACCTGCGACAACCTTTCCATATGAGGGTTTTTGCACGTCAGCTACACCTGACAATGCCTTAGATTCAACCGTGCAGGGATTTTTCGCCTCTGGTTTTGGTGAATCATCATTTGAGCGCAAACGTTTGTTAACCTGCTCATGGGGGGTTTGTTCCTCCATCTGAGACAGATTCTGCGTACGCCGATCAAGAATTTGGTGTAAGGCGGTTTTATAAGGTACCCCAGTAGTTTCCTGGCCAAACTTTTTTTTTTTTAGTTTTTGGATCAGGAGTTTGGGAGTTGAGAAGCGGAAAAGCTCTCGCTCCTGAACGAAATTTACAGGGAGGTCAGTTGGAGTCGTAAACTCGACATCCATATCCTCTGTAGACTCGCTCCTGATCTAAATTTAGAAGGAGGTCAGTTGAAGTCGTAAGCTCGACATCCGTCTCCTCTATAGACTTAGCGTCAGAAAGAATTTTAAAGTTTACTCTGCCCATAAAAGTCCCACGAGTAGCTAGGGAAAGACGGTCAATCACGGCAGAGTCCCGCATTACCGTGACAAGGCGATGCCACGACGAGAGGGCGCCCGGTATCTTGAAGGTTACGTAGAGACAACTGATAGGCTCAGTGTCATTTATCCTCTCGTCACGGATACACACACCTTAGGATTGAGCCATCGTTGGAATGCCATTCAGTTAGGGAATAACAGAACCACAAGTGATTCTGTTATTCCTGTATCCAGCGGGGCTACGTGGAAGCAAGCATCCGATGACCGGCTTGCTCAATCCCCACATCCCAAGCCAATGCACTCGCCAATAACACCATGTACTGTGGTTCAGGCAGTGAAAGATGAACAAGGACAGCCAACCCGCCTGCATGTATGTATCATAATGTTTTGTCTGTGTTCGGTGTATGTGAATAAATTTGTTTGATAATAAGTGTTGTTGCATTTTTATAGTCGACCCAGTTTTGTTATCGGATTTAGGAATTGTTTTTTATCGACAGGCCGAGTTGGTTGGTTGGTTTTATGGTTGATCCAAAACAAGCACCAAAACGAACACCAGAACTGCAGCATTTTTCTCTACGTGCGTTTCACTAACCAAGTTGGTGTACTTCACCTACTGAAGACGTAAACTTGTTTGATGAAACGCGCATCGAGAAGAGTGTTGCAGTTCTGGTATTAGGGACAGTGCCAGAATTTCCAGTTCTACCTTTCTTTATGGTAGGGGTATCTTTTCTATCATCGGCCAAGTTTTCATTTGCCTATCGAATTTGTTAACAAAAACACATGTTATCAGTATTAACACGACAAATACTCCTTATCTTGAACCATAAATATAAAATATACGATATGGGTTGCCTCCAATGAAAAGAATACTAAAACTCATTAATATTTAGATCGAACAACTATAATTGTGACCGAAGAGGGGTCAAGTTGCTGAACGGTATATATAGCATAACGCACGCCAAGGAAACAAACGTACGGATTAAACTGTTCAACATGAATAAGTTAACTAGACAGGTTCGTTACAATTATTCATAAAATATATCTTTATATCTCATTCATTTTAATTACAACAGGTGACCTTCAGAAATTTAAGGAATGGTATCAGAAATATTAACCTCACTACAGCAGGACAGCAACATTATGCCGAGAAAGAAATAATAAATTCAAATATCCAGATGCCTTTGACACATTTATCAGAGGACGAGAAAATAATGAAGCAAACAGGTATGAGAATTTCGAAAAGTATATAAACCTTTGTTTTTATGTGATGGAAAATTGGTTCAAATAGTTTGAATACCTAATTACAGTGAAATCGTTTCCATTCATTCCTTTAGTTTTTAAATTCCGTTATTATTAAAAAGATGGGCGTGTTCACAGCGACCAATGACGAATTTCCGGATGTTATCGCCACATTATGAATTAAAGATACATTGATATCATAACGTGATCATAATTTGTATACATTATCATTTTTGGAGAACTTCATAAATCAGGTGATTCTTAGACATAGGCGTACATAAAGTTCAATTTTGGGAGAAATAGAGACGGGCTTAGGAAGTTTTCACATCTGATTAAATAGTGGTAGGTAATTGAAGGAGAGTTTTCACGGTTTGAAATCATTTTAAATGCTGGATAATTAATTTCACAGTGTTTCTGAACTTAACGTTAATCTCTTCCTTTCACATTTTGGGAGAAATAAAAAGGTTCTTTTAGGGATTTTTGAAATTTGATTAGGGCTGAATATGGAAAATTAAGAATTCAAGAATATCTACCACAATGAAAATGAAGCAAACAATGAATGAATGAAATTATAAAAGACACTCACCAAAGTTGGATTAATAGAAAAAAACTGGAATTTATAAAAATTTATGATTTGACAGATAAACTATGCCAAAAAAATCTAAAGTAGAATGATTTGTCACAGCACCCGAGAAAATGAATTGAACATGTTGTTTTGTAATCATTGAAAAAATATTTCGTATTCATTTTTCAAATTTATTATCCTCTGTTAAAATTAGAAGTTAAAATGAAATTGTTAATTTGACATGAATTTTGTATTTTAGATTTTTTATTCAAACTATTTTGTGTTTTACTAATATGTACCAATTCAAAAAACAATCTTTCAATTTTGTTATTTTCATCAGCTAAAATACCATGCTCTGCTGATCCACAAGACCGTTTATTAAATCTACAGTCACTTTGGTGTGAGATAATTCGTGATGAAAAATTACCAGTAGTCTCACCTATATGTAGAATAAGTAAATAAAATTATGTCGAACGGTTTTATTGAAAAAAAAAATGATGTAGATAATGTAATAAAAACTAAAAAACAATTCGAAATGTCCTAGGTAGCACTCATCACACCATTCTTCTCAGCAAAATATGCTATTGATCAGATGAAAAAATAATAACATCGTTGGGCGTAGTGTTATCTGAGTAAATGTGTAAATACTGCGCCCAACGATATTATTTTTTATCTGATCAATACCGAAGATTACTAAGGATAGTGGTGTGATGACTGCTACCTAGGACCTTCCGAATTATTTTTAGTTTTTAGTACATTATCTACATCATTATTATCTTTTTTCCCATAAAACCATTCAACATATTTTTTACGTATTTCATTTGTAGTTTTTAATTTTGTTACTCGATTCTTCTTCAGTTTAGTTCATTTAGAGCCTCAGTAATGCAAGGTAATATATAATCCGCCATTTTGTAGCTGCGGACATTATGAATTTTCAAACTTTCTCAAAGTGTAATACTATTCTACTAGTCAAGCCCCGCCAGTCGATATCCATATTGAGGTAGTTTTGAAAAAATATGTAATCCCCCATTTTGTAGCTGCGGTCATCTCGAATTTGCATTTTTTTTCAAAGTGTGTGACAAAACACATCTATTTGATTTATTTCCATTTTAACTTGTATCGTTTCGCCATCTGGTGAATTTTCTTGATAACTTATCCGCCGCAGTGAAGGCCGATTCCTGTTGTTTACAGTTTTCTACCGCCCTTAATCATAAATAGCAACGGCTCTCATGTCCTCCGGGATAGGCAACCCATATTTCACTGTGACGGGTTTTTTGCATTTGCAAAGTATTTCCAAACCCCCTCGAACCGAAAATAGACTGTTTCGCACCCTATCCTGTGTCTCATTGGATCAGCAGCAACCTCTTTCAAAAAACCCTGAGATTGAACCCTTACAAGTGTACTACTATTCTACTAGTCAAGCCCTGTCATTTGATACCAATATTGACGTAGTTATATAAAAAATATGTAATCCACCATTTTGTAGCTGCGGCCATCTTGAATATGCATCTTTTTCAAAGCGTACTACTATTCTACTAGTCAAGCCCTGTCATTTGCTACCAATATTGAGGTAGTTGTCAAAAAATATGTAATCCACCATTTTGTAGCTGCGGTCGTCTTGAATGTGCATCTTTTTCAAAGCGTACTACTATTCTACTAGTCAAGCCCTGTCATATTGAGGTAGTTGTGAAACAATATGTAATCCGCCATTTTGTAGCTGCAGCCATCTTCGATTTACAATGATACAGAATTTATTAAATTGTATTGTCATCAAAACTAAATGTGAGTACCAAATATCAGATCAATTTATCAACAGGAAGGGGGTCAAACTTCAATTATTAAATTTGACCCAAACAAACAAACAGGGCAAGCTAAATAAAACCGTTTAAATAAAAAAGAATTGGAAGATGAACATGGAATACTATGTACAACATGAGATTTTTCTTCATTACTGAGGGGAGTATTAATTTTAAAACAGTGTGAAGGAATCGTTTTGTGGTTCTTTGTGGAAATTCTGTGATATCTTGGAAAATATCAAGCAATTTGATAGTCAATTGTGTGTCCCTGACGATATTGAAGAGGCTGCAAAAAGAGCTTCAGTTGAATTGTTACCAAAAAATCGGCTCAGCAGTATGACATCGCATATTTTAATTTTCTTGGCTGGTTTAGACTTAAATACGTCCAAGGAAATTTCAGCGAAACCGTTTGCTTCTTAGCCTATCTAGAAGAGACCTCAAAAATATGGAAGTCGTCAACTTTGTGGAGCCTTGTTTTCAGTGATAGAATCCATTGCGCTCATTAAAAATGGTGTTAATACAAGCAAATATTTTAAGGTAATAGCATTCTTGAAGCAGAAAAGTTAAAGTTATAGCCATCAAAAACTCTTACGTTTGAACAAGTCCAGAGGTTTATAAATGAGGCGCCAGATGAAAAATATTTGATGATAAAAGTTGCTACTATTTTCGGAATATATGGAGCCTGCTGTCGTGAAGAGATGTGTCATTTATTAATAGAAGACATTAAATTAATAGATAAATCATTGATTGTTCAAATTTCAAATACAAAAACGAAAAGAGGTCGTTCTTTTTGCATTATTTGAAAATACATTGACTATTTTAATAAATACGTTGCATTACGCCCTTCTGTTATCAATCATCAACGGTTTTTTTCTGAAAAACTCAAAGTATAAATGCAGTGCCAACCCAGTTGGTAAACACTTTTGGGAAAATGCCCTCTACGATTGCTGAGTTTCTGAACCTCCCGGAATCAAAGGAATATACAGGTCACTGTTTCAGAAGGTCTTCTGCTTCTTTGCTATCAGAATAAGGAGCAAATATAACGGATATTTAGAATCACGGAGGATGGAAGTCTACAACAGTAGCTGAGGGTTACACCGATCAATCTATTTCTTATAAAAAGGCTAGTGCTGAAAGAATAATCCCAACAGCTAGCTCCAGCGTTACATCATCGTCTTCTTCACTTCAAGAATTAAATGTTAATGCCAATGAAATTGTCAAAACAGATAGCTCAAATATATTACAGGGCTCTTCAATATCGCAAGGTATAATCAGCACTTGTTCTAATTGCACTTTTCATATTAATGTTCATTAATAATAATAATGTAATTAATGTACATATAATAGGTACATTCGTAACCTATATCTAATGTTCTATCTATATCTATTGTTCATAATAAAATTTCCTTAAAAATTGAATAATTATGTTTCGTTTATTGCTATATGGTCGATAAAAATCGTGTTTCTCTCGGGAATGTATAGATGGGGTCAAAGTATCACCAGTACTTCATATAAATTTTGTTCCTAAAATCCTTACGTTACAGTTGATAAATTTTCAAGAAAGTCGAGTGCCCTAGACTCAGAACATCAGTTCTGAGTACCTACCAAAAAATTATCACTCAAAGATTTTACTTTTCCAAACCAAAGTCTTATTATCTTCATACTATAACCGAAGATCAAACAAATTCGTAGCGCCTCAATACTGAAGTCCCTTTGTGGAATATCCCTCGCCTCGATTTTAACCTAATGTAACCTTGCGAGATCGAGGAAAGTGAAATATTGATATTCTTTTTGAGTGAATAAGTTGAGAGATTTCAAAATTTTCCAGTTTTCAAAGAAAAATTACAAGTCATTTGCATTTTCTAGAAGTACATGTTTTTAGTGGAACTACCCAAACTATGAATGACCATGGGGATCTCGATGGTTGAGTAATTCCTGTAATCTCGACGGTTGATTAACTCCTTGTTCCGAGTATTATATAAATCTAGATTTTGATTTTATTCTCGAATATTCGAGGATACCTTTAAGATTTATTTTAAAACATGGTGTAAATGTTTTTTATGAAGTACTTATTGGTGAATTATCACTCAAATTAAAAAGGGTATTGACTATTTATATGGCTCATGAATGAGTATGATGTCAGCATAAGTTTTTTTTCTTTACTGTAGGTATATCCACTTACTTTTTATTCCAGTATAACTCGAAATCATTTTCAAATATTTTCACAACTTTTTCCTATAACAGTTCAAAAAAGTTATGCTCTATTCAAGAAACTCACTCACCTCTGTTTCTATTTCTGTTTTGCAGTTGCCCGACTAGCACAAGAACAAATCCTACCGCACATAAGAGAAATGGAAAACGAAGGAAAAATTAAGGAATCCGTCATCAAAATGTGTTTTGAAAATGGTGTGAGTACCTCTCATTTTTATCTTTTTTAATAAATCGTGGCATTGATAAAAAAAAGATTGAGAGGATTTAATGGAATTGGGTGGAAACACGAGCAAATGATGACGTCCGACAGAGAAATAAGAGAAAATGAATAAAAATCAGAATAACAAGAAATATGAAGAAAAACAGAAAAGGAAAAAAGAGAAAAAAATATCAAGAAATATTGCCAAAGGTGAAATTGGTGAAGTCGAGGTGAAACTGAAGAAGTTTGGGGTGAAGTATAGACTTTCACCAGCAGAGTATGTAACTGAACGGGTCGTGAAAAAGATTAAATATGTCATAGACAAGGTTAACAAAATTGATATGTTATGAAATTAGCAGTTAATTCATGAAAAACCATAATGTATTCAAGTAACACTGTATTGTGAAATTTTCACTGAACAGTTCACAAAACGGTAAAACGTGTTTCACTATACAATAACTACCTCAGGCGAGTTCACACAGTATGAAAACATAAAATGGAATAAACAGATAAACAAATAGATAGCTTCTTAACCAAGCTGATTACTTCATTTGGTGATTTTTAGGACAGTTGGCAAGAATGGTACTCTTTTAAACGCTGAAAACCGGTCCGGACAGATATAATCTGCTACCAGAGCCCGAATTTCTTTGTGAAGAATAATCTACTCCAAGGTTAACAGACCATGGTACATTTTAGGTTAACCACTTTTCAGCACTATAAAAACTGGATGAAATACTCTTCAGAAGGCATTACGAATTTAGTATTCACGAAGTATTCATTTAATATAAGAGTCTATATACAAAGATATAAGGTATCCAGGTAGTGATAAACGCTGTATTGATATAGCGTTATTGGAGTTCGAAGCTGTGAAAACTATAAAGACCTAGGATAAGAGTCCCGAAGCTTCTTTGAATTTTGTTCGTGTACTACACGATTCAATAGAGAACAACTGGAATTTCGATTAGTGTCCAAAATAACGGTAGTCTTTCTCTGAACTGAAAAATACCCAACTTCGAGAGACAAGAGACTTGCCTGGAATACATCTCGAAGCTGAAATGAAACTATGTGATGGTATTGGACTGCATCATTATCAGGGAAATAAATTCATTGAAGGAATTGCAAAAGCTTTCTATTTATTAAAATCAACGTACAACTAAACTACATTAATATATATCAATTGTAATTATAATGAAAACAGGACTCTATACGAGTTTAACGAAAACCAGTAGTCGAAGTAGCTTCATGTTTCAACAGATGAAATTGGCGATACTTGATGAACGTCCATGATAACTAAACATGTTTAGTGAAAATCTCACAATACTTGACGAGTGGATAGACAATATACGGATACATATCCGAACTTTGCGGTCGTATAATTTGTTATTGTTTTAACGATTTTTTTGCAATTCTTATTCATCGAATTGTTGCGATTGAAGACTTGGCTGATTTAGCATATTTCCCTTTTTGTCATATACAAACTAAGCTGGTAAATACTTTGTTATTCGTAATTACGCTTGTAAACTTGTCCGATGGTCACATTTTGCCAGGTATTTGGACATAGTTACTTAAGAAAAGAGAATTGAAACTTTCTATGTGTTTTACCACTTTTATTTGTAATTAACGTTACTGCAGTTTCGTCCTATAAGGACATTTTCAAACTTATACATTAAACTAACCGTAGTTAAAATTCACCGTAGTTTTTGAACATACCTCGTATGTTCAATCCAAGACGGAATATGTATCCAACACATTCAAAATTTCTCGAGTCATGGAAAACGCAAGAAGATTTTTTCATTACTGAACGATAAGACTGTCAAACCAATTTGATTCATCTATGAAAATCTGAAATTATATACATGGATGGCAAATTTCACTTTGCACACTTATTTTTTTGAATTTAATTATTATCTTTGTTATTTAAACGGTCATTATATACTACTTGTGTTTTGTGCGTTGCATGACAAACACATTCGTACCTATAAAAATTGTTTTCAATTTTTAATCAAGAGATGCAGGAAGCTGAAAAACCACAGCGGATTTTTTCAAAATCGCTTAACTGGTGAGAAAGCCAGTGGTTAAATTGCTATATATGTTCGTTTGAAAGAAACAGTGAGAAAAATCAATTTAACAACTAATCTAGAAGCTACCGCGATAACCATTGTAGCCCCCGAAACCATTTCCATTTGCAATATTTATTTACCACCAAACCAGGAGGTAGAAGAGAAAACCTTTCAACTCATATCGAATGGAAGGTACTAAATGAACTGTATGGCAGCGACCATTATCCCATAATCATATCCATCAAATCAAGGAGCTACCACCATAAATAAAGAATTATCACACCAAAAATGGAATCGCAAACATGTAGATAGAAGCCAATAATTTCATCGAGAATAACATATCCGATANATCTGCCAACATTTCTTGAGTTGAAATATCAAGAAATTACACGAAATTTCTTCAAAACTTTGCTTGGGTTGAAACTTCAACTAATAATTCACCAGAACTTGGACACTTATCTTTCAATTTAATACTGACAATTCGTCAATAACACTTAAAACACAAAAAATTCATTAACTCACTTTTTAAGTTATCCTAAAAGCACAGTAGGTATGAAAAATGAATGTGGAATTAAATATAAATACAAATACACCCTGTGTGGTCTTATGATTACAGTTTACTGTAATGACTGCTTGCGCCATCTGAAACGGCGTTGATCTCTGCTAATCAAGTTAGCCATAAATCTCTCATTTTACCCCAAACTTTTGCAGGTATGAGTAGATGCACCAGGGTTTTTAGACATCTTAGTTTCCTATCTCCAGTTTGTAGTAGATAGATGTATTCATTCGGGTTTTTTCAGTTAGGACGATTATAGGACGGTTTAAAATAGTCACACAGCTGCTCGTTGAGAATGGACTCACGAAAAACTTTCCATGTCTCAATTGTGCAACTGCTTTGACAGTTCCAGGTTCCAGGATCGTCTAGATTTCTAACATTCTAACCCGATTGTGACCAGTATGTAATGAATTACTGAAATTCGTAAAATATTAATATAAAATACCAAGATTGACACTAAACTTGATCCATGTAAGTTTCTAGTTTTAATAGAATTTCAAATACATTCACATTCCTTACATGGAGTTATCTTCTAAAGGTAATATGTATAATACCATTACATTTCATAAATAATGTGTCTAGAATCTAGATTAGGAAGCAATCTAACTAAATTAATGTAATTACTTTAAAATAAATCGAATTTGACTCTTTTTCTTCTCTATAGTCAGTTTTTAAATCACGTGATACATGGATCCAGAAACAGGTCATATCAAACATTTCTTGATTTATTTTTATTAAGTGATAAATGGATCCTCATAGTACATTGCAGAGGAGATGGCACCTCAAGGCTTGACATTACCTTGTCCTGAATGAAAAAAAGTGCCTTCTTTATAAATTATAGCTAAGTTTTGCTAGAAGGAATATAATGATAGTGGAGCAAGGTAATCTTCAGGTAATAATTGAAGGCATACTTTCAACATTTTCAGAATGTCATTCTGAGTAGGAATAATTAATGAAAAAAAATGTACGGACCTCAATTTTTTGAGACGTCTTATGGAAAATGTTACCTGAAATTTCTTCGAAGTAACTTGCAAACTTGAAGATTTATTTAAAACTATGAAAATCCTAACTTACCCAAGGATCTGATTGGAGTCTTCAAAAAAACTTCTAATAGTAAAAGGATTAACTTCTAAGGCTCTATCTACTTCACCTATTTTTTGTGGGGTTATTTTATACTGCAGAAGATATTTGCAATTATCAAGAGGAAAATCAAATTGAAGAGGAAGGTAAACTCGAAGTCTTCTCCACACAAAAAAGGGGAGGACTTCAGTTTACCTTCCTCTTCAAATCTTTATACTCCACTTTGATTTATGAACTATATCCGTTTATTGGTTGTGTTTATTCTCTAATGTATCTAAAATGATAATTTTTATACATTTTCTATAAACAAATCTATCAATTAGTGTATATAGTATTGATATAACTCTTTTGTTATGAAAATAACTATTGTGTTTGAACACAAACCATTAGGGCACAAAAATTTAATACTGAATAGAAGAACATGTAACTTACTTCACTCACTAAGGTGAATAACCATTCTTTATAAAATCAAATGCAAGTAAAGAAAAATTTTATTGCATTGAAAGTATTACATTTTTGGATCTTACAGCAGATAATATCTGTTATTAGAGAAAACAATTCATCAGTTAGTAATTCAAGTAACGCTCTATCATAATATTTTCACTGGACCGTTTACAAAACCGCAACACATGTTTCGCTATAAAATAGCTTCCTCAAGTGTTTTCAGTATGAAAATAGGGAAGCAATGACCATAGAACTGAGCGGAGAGGTTGAAGTACATATGAAGCAGAGAACCCAAACTTTTATGGTAGTGGACATAGACAAGACAGTATCGGAGGAAGAGATAGATGTACTGATGAAGGAAACAAATGCTACAGAGGAAGATGTGCAAATCAAACTATCAGAAAAAATAAGTGAGAGAGGACTCAAATATGCTTTCATCACAATCAGAGAAAACGTTGCTAAAATACTGGAAAGGAAGATAAGGAAAAGAAACGGATGGAACAGGTGGCGTATCAGAAAAGTGGAGGAGGTTGAGAAATGTTTTAGATGCCATAAAGTAGGTTATATATCAAGAAACTGTAGCGAAAAACAGGAAGAGTCAAGATGTTATAAATGTGGAGACACCGGACACATAAAGAAAGAATGTCAAGAAGTGCAAAGATGCTATAAATGTGAAGTAGATTTACACAAAGCAGACTCGATGAAATGTTCAGAATATAGAAAGCTACAGGCGGTGCGAAAAAAAGACGAAGGTTGGGGTTAAGTTAGGTCCAAAGTGAGTGGGTCTATTCTACCTTCCACCGCAACCCGCAAGTGTTTATTGTGGCTCACACCTATTCACACTCGAACCAAATAAAC